AGCTGGGATTACAGGCACGCGCCACCATGCCCAGCTAATTTTTTGTATTTTTAGTAGAGACGGGGTTTCACTACGTTGACCAGGATGGTCTCGATCTCTTGACCTCGTGATCCACCCGCCTCGGCCTCCCAAAGTGCTGGGATTACAGGCGTGAGCCACCGCGCCCGGCGAGACAGGGTCTTACTGTGTTGCCTAGGCTGGTCTCAAACTCCTGGACTCAAGTGATCCTCATGGCCTTGGTCCTCCCAAAGTATTGGGACATAGGCATGAGCCACTGCACCCAGCTCTTTTTAGCCATATATTAACCACTTAACCACGAAGTAAAGCCATGTATTAACCACTTAAGAGCATCCTTTTTCTTGGCCGCTTCTTCCCTTCCCCCTTCTATTGAATCGATTTTTTTTCTTTCTTTCTAATTATTTGGAAGCAAAGCATCCTATATCTTTTCTTTTAATGGTTATCCTTGTCCTGCTGTTACTTTGTGTTGAGTATTAAGTCAGAGAAACCCATACCACTTTTTCCCATGAACTACCAAAACAGGTTTGTTGAATGCTATACTTTCAAATTTTATTTTTTTAACTGAAGCAAAGGACTGTGTGTTTATTTTTAAATAAATATTAACATTTTTATAATTAGTCCGAGAAGTAAGGGCCTTAGTCATGCTGTATGAAGAAAGATTGATCAAAAACTAGACCTAAAACCACCTTTTCTCTACAGTCTTGCAGACTTCTCCTCCCCCTTCCTGCCTTCACTAGAATCTACATGCTGTTGAGGACAAAAATATTATTTTCCTTACTGCTGTATCCATTTTTCTTAGTTCACCGGCCCTCAATAGACATATTAGTTGAAAGAATCAAGTAGAAATATTTAGAGGAAAACGAATGGAGTGGTGTAGGATGGAGGGCAGGAGACCTTATGGAAACTTTGACTTGAAGGATTTGCATGTCAAACAATAATTATGCTTGTTTTGTATTGTTCTCAGTCATTTTAGAAGAGTTTTTTTGGTAGATGTGATATAGCAAGTGTTAACAGATCAGATAAATGGTCCTTGATTGCTCTGAGATTCTGTGCAAAGTAGATGGAATAGTTGTCATTCTTAATTTACTAGATTTGGGTACACAGATAAGTTTTTTACTTTATCCGTGTACCTAATCTGATAATCTTAATATATGGTAATATTATGTGTACCTGTAGAATGACTAGTGTTTTGGGAAGGCATGAATATATGCATTTATTAAAGATAAATTTCAACTAAACAAAGGAATACAGTTAAAAATAGTTAACATTAAATCCTGAATATAGCCATATACTAACTACTAAAAATACAATCCACATGGTATTATTGTTCTCTTTGAAAACTTTTGCTATATAACATTTCAGATGCTCAGAGTATGCTAAGTCCTATGTATTAAATATAGAGGAGTCATTTTCTGATTATATTTAAAAAATGGCAAATCAGATATCTAAAGGCAAGTATTGCCTTTCAGTTTCCTGAAGGTGTTTAGCAAGTGTTTAGGAACAGATGTGTTGTTTTTTAAAAAACCACATATTTCTTTCTCTGCATTCCCTTTTCAAAACTTCTCTCCATCCTCCCACCTACCCTTTTTCCCTTCTTGTATGTTTCTGCACATATGCGCAGACACATACACTGATTAGAAAATGAGACTCTTGGCAGAAAAGAGATGAGACTGGAGCATTTGCTATTTTACAGAATCACCATGAGCAGATTTCCAGAATCAGATGTCAGTGATAGATCAGACAGTAGACCTATGAATTTACAGGTAGTATTGCCTTGCCTAATGAGATACAAGACTTGGACTTAGTATAGATCTCATACTCCCTTTCTGCACAAGTTTTTTTTTTCTTCTGGTAGCTGTGCTTATTATATGTAATAAAGTCATTTTAAAAATCTGCCTCAAAGCTAAGTCCATTAACTCCTTTTCTCTCAATAAATGTTGTTAATTGTTGGATGAAATTTGGTTTAGCAGTTTTGTAATCCCAGATTCAACTTCCTGGCCAGGTGCGGAGCTCATGCTTGTAGTCCCAGTACTTGGGGAGGCCGAGATGGGCGGATCACTTGAGGTCAGGAGTTCAAGACCAGCCTGGCAAACATGGCAAGGCTCTGTCTCTACTAAAAACACAAAAATTGGCTGGGCATGGTGGCGCACACCTGTAATTCCAGCTACTTAGGGGGTTGAGGTGGGAGAATAGCTTGAACCCGGGAGACAGAGGTTACAGTGAGCCAGGATTGTGCCACTGCAGTCCAGCCTGGGCAACAAAGTAAGACTCTCTCCAAAAAACAAACAGAACAACAACAGTAAGAAATAACTTCCAGAGTTAGTAGGATTTCATTGTCATTCAGTTAATTCCTTGCATTACTTCACTTTCTGAACTGTTTTCCTTCAAGCAGCTCAAACACCTGGAAGAATAGACAAGAACATTTGAGGCCTCTGAGGGACCTTCCTGGCTCTATGGACTAAAATCACCTGTGGAAAAGAGCTTTCTAGAGTGGTAGGAAAAGAAGCTTGCTCTGAGGCAATGTCTCATTTCTCCCTTATTGTTACTGTGACACAAAGTTTTTGTCCTGAAAGTACTGTGGCTTAGAAGGCCAAATAGGGCATAATTATGAGTTTTCTTGAACTTTCCTTTCTGGGAGTAAGTGTGTATCTCATGTGTCAGCAATTGAAGTATATAAATTTTTCAAGATTGTTCTCTTAAAATTTTCTCTGAGTTAAAGTACTTTAAAAGGAAGACCTGTACTTGTCTGGAAGTTTGTGCTCCTTACACAGTATGACTTTTAAGAATGCCCATTGACCTGGATTCCTCACATTGGATGGGAAAAAGTCAGTGATCCCATGTTGTTAATCTACTTCGTGGAAGCCAGGCTATGATGGGAATTTCTCAGCATCTTCCTGTTGATCAGAACTAAAGTGCTATTTCTTCTCCTTTTTCTTCCTACTAAATGTGCTTAATTTTTAGTAGGTTTATATTTCCAGGTTCAACTTCCAGAGTTGGTAGTATTTCTTTTAGCTTCTTCTATCTAGGATTGGTTTTATGTAACACATTCTGTTCATGAATACCTAGCAAATAATTGATCTATTACTATATACCTTCAGTATTTGTACAGTACAATAACAAGCTGGATGTGATACAGAAGTAATATCAGATAACCCTAATCTGTAGTTCGATTGACAGGTTGAGATTAGAACATATTTAAGGAATATTGAGGATCAGCAAGGATCCTCACTGATACTTGGAGATACGTGGTGTTTTAATCAGTTTTATTGTTTTCATGTGTGCTTAGTAGATTCCAGCTAGGGCCTTGAAAGATGTGACCTTTGACTAATTTCAAGGAAGAGAGATGGTTTACTGAGTGGTTAAGCAAAAAGATTGTTTTTAAGGACAATTAAAACAACAAATATGGGTAAAGACAGAAGAATAAAGGTAGCAAAAACAAGAGTAGTGCTTCTCAGATTGCAGTGGGAGAGGAACATGAGGTCAGAGACCTTGTATTAGCATGAGACTTTTGTCTGTAGACACAAGAACATGAAGGAGCCTAAGTTCATTTCTGGGCTTACAAGCAAAAATTTTAAAAAGTGCTTCTTTATCTTTATTAATAGAAAGGGTACCAGGACTTGGAGTTACAGAGGTGGAGGCAGAGGTTCTGTGCAGCATAGCATTCTCCTTCATAGTTGTGAGAAATCGAAGAAGTGGTCACCACACCCTGACCCTCGTTGGTCCAACAAACTTCTGTTTCTGGGTTGCTGGCGCTCACTTTGACTTCTAAGCATCCATTTTAGAGCTTCTCTTCTCCTTTCCTGTTTCTCCTGTGACCTATTTCTTTCTATTTGGAAACATTATTGAGGAGAGGTCACAATTGCAGGGATTTTGATCTAGGCAAGTGTTCTTTTTCCAAAGTTGGCTCTTCAACGTTTTGGTGAGGGACAAGATTATGAGAACTTCTGGGAAACTGAAAGAAATAAAATCTAGTCAGCCTAGAAATGAACAAATGAGAAAAAAGTGCCAGGGGACTGGGATATCACTTTTACTTGTACTTTAACCCTACCATTAAAGTGATCAGTTAATAGCACAACACTCTGTGTAGCCATTCACAGCCATCACTCACTCTTTGTGCCTCCATAGTAGCCCAGATGTCCTAGCTTTTTCACTTTTCTGTTTGGGCAAATTAGGAAGGGTATAAATAGGTAGACCAGTTGTATGACTTGCATATTTGTCCTTTCTATAGCTAAGGAAACAGTGAAAGGCAGCCTGCATACTTTTTTTCTGAACAGAAGTTTCTGGGCTTTTTTTAAATTTTTTCATTTTATTACATAATTATCTTAGACAGTTTGACTTAGAAATTTAGTGGGAATGAGCCACAAATTGGAACAAGACAAATTTAGTAGTATTAGTACCTGAAAATCTAAATTAGTGCCTTGACACTGCCTTTAATAAAATTCTCTTTTCTTTCTCTTAGGGCTGCTGCTCAGAGCAAGTTAGGTCACTATACAGATGCAATAAAGGATTGTGAAAAAGCAATAGCAATTGATTCAAAGTACAGCAAGGCCTATGGGAGAATGGGGTAAGTTCTGGGAGAATGTTCAGAGTAGTACCGTGTGATATCAGGTATGCTGTTCTTAATGGCTTGGTTTTGAATTTCCTGCTTAATATTGTACCCTCTGAAGTAATAAGAAGATAAATAAAACATAAAGGAGGAAATGACTGCAATTGGTGACTTGGGACTGAGATGATTGATGACCGATTTGATTGTTGGAGAAAATTATGTAACCATACTTAGTTGACTAATTTCATGTCCATGACCACAAATCTCAGATGAGCACTCAATATTGGCAGACAATTCTATCATATTTCCTTCTATAGTCCCCTTTCCACTCTGACTATTTCATACTTCCTCCTCTCCCTTCAAATTTCCACTATCCCCTCTAGGGTGACTCTTAACAGATGGTATTGCCTTATTTACACTTACTTGAAAAGATAGATGTTTTTTGAAGAAAAACAACTCATCTTCCTCCTTGCAAATTCATCAGTCGACCCATACTTCTATGTACACGGACTGCCTTTTTTTCCTGTTAAAATGGAATCATTCTGGCTGGTCATGGTGGCTCATGCCGGTAATCCCAGTACTTTGGGAGGCCAAAGCATGCAGATTACTTGAGGTCAGGAGTTCAAGACCAGCCTGGCCAATGTGGTGAAACCCTGTCTCTACTAAAAATAGAAAAATTAGCCAGACGTGGTGGCATGTACCTGCAGTCCCAGCTACTCAGGAGGCTGAGGCAGGAGAATCGCTTGAACCTGGGAGGCGGAGGTTGCAGTGAGCTGAGATAGAGCCAGCTGTACTCCAGTCTGGGCGACAGAGCTAGACTCTATCTCAAAAAAAAAAAAAAAAAAAAAGGCAGTATTCTTTTTTGTTTTGGTTTGTTTTTTTGTTTTTGAGATGGAGTCTTGCTCTGTCACTCAGGCTAGAGTGCAATGGCCAGATCTCGGCTCACTGCAACCTCCACCTCTGGGGTTTAAGAGATTCTGCTGCCTCAACCTCCCAAGTAGTTGGGATTTTAGGAGCCCACCACCACACCTGGCTAATTTTTGTACTTTTAGTAGAGACAGGGTTTTGCATGTTGGCCATGCTGGTCTCGATCTTCTGACCTCAGGTGATCCACCTGCCTTGGCCTCCCAAAGTGCTGGGATTATAGGTGTGAGCCACCGCGCCCAGCTGGAAGCATTCATATCTAAGACCATTGCCTCCACTCATGCTTTAAGGTCTCATCCCTTTCTACCTTCTCCACAACGTTACAACTATTACTATCCCCTTCATGTTCTACAACATTAGTTCTTCCATCTCTAGTAGATGATAGTGGCTGGCATGTGATAAGGTCCTAAAAAAATCATTTAGTAGGCCAGGTGCAGTGGCTGACACCTGTAATCCCAGCACTTTGGGAGGCCAAGGTGGAAGAAATGCTTGAACCCAGGAGTTCAATACCAGCCTGGGCAACATAGCAAGACACCATCTCTATAAAAATGCAAAAGTTATCTGGGAGTGGTGGTGTGCATCTATAGTCCCAGCTGCTTGAGAGGCTGAGGTGGGAGTATCACTTGAGTCTGGGAAGTTGAGGCTTCAGTGAGCCGTGATTGTGTCAGTGCACTCCAGCCTGGGTGACAGAGTGAGAACCTGTCTCAAAAAACAAAAATCATCAGTTGGACACATCCCTTTACCCAGTGTTCCCCTCCAGCTGCCATTCCACTTCTCAGTTCCTCATTCTCTGCCTCTAATGGTTATCTTCGCCATCTCTTATTTTCTGCCTCTAATGTTTTATCTTTGTCATCTCTTATTTTCTCTTCAGCTCATTTCAATAGGGCTTCTGTTCTATATCACTATGGTGGTTAATTTTATTTGTCAACTTGACTGGGTTAAAGGATGCCCAGATAGTTGGTAAAACATTATTTGTGGGTATGTGTGCGAGTGTGTTTCCAGAAGAGATTAGCATTTTTTTCTTTGTTTTTGAGACGGTCTCACTCTGTCACTCAGGCTGGAGTGTAGTGGTGCAGTCTTGGCTCATTGCAACCTCTGCCTCCCAGGTTCAAGCCATACTCCTGCTTTAGCTTCCTGAGTAGCTGGGACTACAGGTGTGAGCCACGATGCCTAGCTAATTTTTGTATGAGATTAGCATTTGAATTGACAGACTGGGTTAAGAATATCACCCATACCAACGTGGGTAAGTATCAGCAATTCCTTCAAGGGCCCAAATAGAACAAAAAAATAGAGGAAGGGCAAATTCGCGCTCTCTGCTTGAGCTGGAGCATCCATCTTCTCCTGCTCATGGACCTCAGCATTCCTCATTCTGAAGCCTTTGGACTTGGACCCAACTTACACCATCAGCTGTCCTGGTTCTGAAATCTTTGGGTTTGAACTGGAATTACATCATTAGTTTTACTGAGTCTCCAGCTTGCAGACAGCAGATGGTGGGACTTCTCAACTTCCACAATTGTATGAGCCAGTCCCTCACAAGAAATCTCTTCATATTTATATGTATATACTGTTGGTTCCCTTTCTCTGGAGAACCCTGAGTAATACAGTCACTCTACTGAGATAGCTGTATTCAAGGTTACCAGTTGTTTATATTTTGCCTAGGAGAGTGTTCAGCTCTGTATCCTCACCATGCACTGTCTTTTACCATTTGGTGCAATTAACTTATTTATTTTTTATAAGCCAATTTATTTATTTATTTATTTAGAGACAGAATTTCACTCTTGTCGTCCAGGTTGGAGTGCAATGACACAATCTTGGCTCACTGCAACCTCTGCCTCCCGGGTTCAAGCAATTCTTCCACCTCAGCCTCCCAAGGAGTTGGGATTACAGGTGCCTGTCACCACACCTGCATAATTTTTGTGTTTTTAGTAGAGACAGGGTTTCACCATGTTGGTCAGGCTGGTCTTGAACTCCTGACTTCAGGTGATCTACCCACTTTGGCCTCCCAAAGTGCTGGGATTACACGCATGAGCTGCCGTACCCAGCTGCTATTAACTTATCGTCAAAATACATCACTCTCTAGGATCCTGACACCACACTTGCCCTGTTTCCCCTTTTTTTTGCTAGATGCTCTTTTCCAGTCTCCCTGGCTTGTTCTTCCTCTCTACCATCTTATAACACTGCCGTATTTTAGGGTTGCATCCTCTGCTGCTGCTGTTTATATGTCTGTTCTCTTTGCACAGTTTATCCTGCTCCATGCTTTTAAAATCTATCTACAGTTACTACTCATTATTTGCAGATTCTGTATTTGTGAATCTGCCTACTTGCTAAATTAATTTGTAATCCCCAAATCAATATTTACACTGCTTCTGTGGTCATTCATGGACATGCACAATTAGTGAAAATGTGTATCCCGATGTTCCCAGTCTCAGCTGAGGGTGAATAAGGTGATGCTCTACCTTTTTGTCTTAGCTGTCATGATGAAGCAGTCTATTTAGTGCTGCATTTTTTTTTTGTATTTTTGTGTCTTTTATTTGTGATTTTGCTGTTTATAGTGGCTCCCCCAAGTATAGGCTGAAGTGTTGTGTAGTGTTCCTAAGTGCAAGAGTGTAATGTGCCTTATGCAGAAAACACATTTATGAGACAAGCTTCATTCAGGCATGAGTTAGTGCCCTTGGCTATGAGTTCGATGGTAATGAATAAAAAACATATATTAAATAAAGTTTATTTAAACAGAAACACACATAAGACAATATTATATATTGATCAGTTGATGAAAATGTGACTATTTACAACTATTTGCAGGAACCTAACTCTATATTTTCTCTAGGAACAATTGTTCAGTATTTGGTAACTCATTATTCATGGTGACTTTATAGAACAGAATTACTGTGAATAAGAATCAACTATGTATATTATTGGATCTAAGTTATATGTTTGAACTCCATACTCATATATTCAACCACTTTTCCTCTCCATGTTTGGATGTTTAATAGGCATTTTAAACTTAACATGTCCCAAAGAGAGCTCATGTTCCCTTTCAAAATCTTTTCAATCTCAATACATTGTACAATCATTTATCCCATCATCCTTTATTTTAATTACACCTGACATAAGGACTGATAGTCTATCAGCAAGTCCTGTCAATTCTAGTTTCCATATATATCTTAAATCCAAGTGTTGATCACTGTCTTGCATGTAGCCCTAGTCCAAACTACATCTCTTACCTAGGCTACTGCAATAGCTTCCTAACTGATCTACTGCCTCCATTCTACTCCTCTGCCCTTGTAGATCCTCTACGTAGAAGCCAGAGTGAGCTTTCAAAAGCACAAATTAGACCATGCGACTCCATTGCAACCAGAATAAAGTTCAAACTCCAAGCAATGGTCCTATATCATCTGGCACCCGACTATTCTCTGACATCATCTCTTCATGCTTTGTTTCCTGTGTTCCCACCTTGTCAGTCCTTGTCCTGTACCTTAAGAATACCAAGCTTGCACCTTTCTCAGGACCTTTCTGTTTACTGCTGTTTCTACTACAATACTCCCTCCTCATTTTCATGATTGCTTTTTTTTACATCACTCAGGTCTTTCCAGAGCGGCTACTTTTTGAGCAGCTCTCCTATTCATTCTCTTTAATATTGCCCTTTTTATTTGCATACTTGTTGCCTGTCTTCCCCAGGTAGAATGAATTTTTTTTTAAGTCAGGAAACTTTATCTTTTTTTTTTGAGATGGAGTTTTGCTCTCATTGTCCAGGCTGGGGTGCAGTGACACAATCTCAGCTCACTGCAGCCTCCACCTCCTGGGTCCAAGTGATTCTCCTGCCTCAGTCTCCCAAGTAGCTGGGATTATAGGCATGTGCCACCATGCCTGGCTAATTTTTTGTATTTGGTAGAGATGGGGTTTCACCGTGTTGGTCAGGCTGATCTCGAACTACTGACCTTAGGTGATCCACCTACCTCAGCCTCCCAAAGTGCTGGGATTACAGGCATGAACCACTGTGCCTGGGCTAGGAACTTTATGTTTTTCATTGTGGAATCCTTGACATCTTTAGATACTTTTTTTTTTTTTTTCTTGAGATGAAGTGTCACTCTGTCACCTGGGCTGGAGTGCAGTGGCTCTATCTCGGCTCATTGCAACCTTCACCTCCCTGGTTTAAGTGATTCTTGTGCCTCAGCCTCCCTAGTAGCTGGGATTACAGGCGCCTGCCACCATGCCCAGCTAATTTTTGTATTTTTAGTAGATATGAGGTTTTACCATGTTAGCCAGGCTGCTGTCAAACTCCTAACCTCAAGTGATCTACCCACCTCAGCTTCCCAAAGTGCTGGGATTGAAGATGTGGGCTATCGAGTCTAGCCAGGGTCCTCAGTATCTTTAGATATTATTTTGGTAATATTCTTATACATTTGTTTCAATAAATAGTTATTTACTTGGCTTGATTAACTGGGGACTCTGATAAAGTATTGTACGTGGTTGACTGGTAGAAAATGAATTAGATTCCAATGAAGAGAAAAAGAAAGAGAAAAGAAAGAATTAAGTAATTTGTTTAAAAAAACTCTAAAGCAAACAGAAACCCCTAATACCATCTCAACATATATACAGTTATTGTTTGGTGCTGTAGTAATGTTTCAATAAGTAAATTTTAACTAGGTAATATGAACATTAAGATTTAATAACTCTTTGACTTGTACCCAGTATAATTTGTCATTTGAGTTGTAAAGGGTGCTAATTTTATCTACCTGTTTTGATCAGGAATAGTTATCTGATAATATGTAGCCTGTTTTCTTACAATTTATATTTATTGTTGCTCTGTTAGGAAGAAGCAGCATGTGGGCCATTTTAAAGCACAAATATAGTTTAGAGTCCTTAAAAATGGTGTTATCATCATAGATTTATGTGACCACATGATTGTCAGCTCACATCTTTTGGAGCTTAATCTAGGCATTTATAGAACAAATTATTTTACATATTAGACTTAAAAATAGTAGAATAGGTAAGATAATCTCTAAGTATTAAATTCATGATCTGTAGGACAACCAGGTTGTCAGCAAGCAGAATGGAGAGAGTTCAGATGTACAGAATCTTAAGTTGGAGGGAATTTTACTCCTGTGAGCCATAGTACAATGAATAAATTAAGTGTAATCTGGAAAGAACTGAATACCAAGACAGACAGACGTTTGATGATGTTGGTGATGTCCTTTTAACCATATATCTCATATTCTTGTACTCTGTATTCCCTTCAGGCTGGCCCTCACTGCCATGAATAAATTTGAAGAAGCAGTTACAAGTTATCAAAAGGCATTAGATCTTGACCCTGAAAATGATTCCTATAAGTCAAACCTGAAAATAGCAGAACAGAAGTTAAGAGAGGTATCTAGTCCTGTAAGTTGTTCATGCCAAATGAGTGAAGTATTTTCTGTCATTCACAACTTATTGTAATTAAATTGTAGTTGTTGGACTGACTCTCAGATATAATTGTTTTACAGACAGGAACTGGGCTGAGTTTTGACATGGCTAGCTTGATAAATAATCCAGCCTTCATTAGTATGGTGAGTATACTTTTCTACCTCTACTGGCTCTGTTTTCCATACAGCTATGTAGCTATGCAATTTTTTTAGAAACAAGTAAGTGAGCTTTTATCGTGGTGGTTGTAGGGGAATGTTGATATAAGCTGTAGCAGGGTTCTTTTTTTTTAATTCCAACTTTTAAGTTCTGGGGTACATATGCAGGACATGCAGGTTTGTTACATAGGTAAACGTGTGCCACAGTATTTTCCTGCACAGATCTTCCCATCACCTAGGCATTAAGCCCAGCATCCATTAGCTATTGTTCCAGATCCTTTCTCTCCTCCCATCCCCCACCCTCCAACAGGCCCCAGTGTTTGTTGTTCCCCAATATGTATCAACGTGTTCTCATCATTTGGCTCCCACTTATAAATGAGAACACGTGTTATTTGGTTTTCTTTTCCTGCTTTAGTTTGTTAAGTAAAATGGTAAAATGGCCTCCAGCTCCATCCATGTTCCTGTGAGGGACATGATCTTGTGTTTTATGGCTGACTAGTATTCCATAGTGTATATGTACTGCATTTTCTTTATCCAATCTATCACTGATGGGCATTTGGGTTGATTCCATGTCTTTGCTATTATGAATAGTGTGAACATACGTATGCATGTGTATTTACAGTAGAATGATTTATATTCCTTTCGGTATATACCCAGTAATAGGATTGCTAGATCGAATGGTATTTCTGCTTCTAGGTCTTTGAGAAATCACTACACTGTCTTCTACAATTTAGATTCCCACCAACAGTGTTAAAGTGTTCCTTTTTCTCCACAGCTTTGCCAGCATCTGTTTTGTTGTTATTGTTTTTGTTATTTGATTTTTTTTGAGACAGAGTTTCACTCTTGTAACCCAGGCTGGAGTGCAATGGTGCAATCTCAGTTCACTACAACTTCCACCTCATGAGTTCAAGAGAGTCTCCTGCCTCAGCCTCCTGAGTAGCTGTGATAATAGGCACCCATAAACATGCCTGGCTAATTCTTGTATTTTTAGTAGGGATGGGGTTTCATCATGTTGGCCAGGCTGGTCGTGAACTCCTGACCTCTGGTGATCTGCCCGCCTCGGCCTCTTAATAAAGTGCTGGGATTATAGGTGTGAGCCACCACACCTGGCCTGTTCTTTGAGTTTTTAATAATAGTCGTTCTGACTGGTGTGAGATGGTATCTCATTGTGGTTTTGATTTGCACTTCTCTAATGATCAGTGATGCTGAGCTGTGTTTTTCATATGTTTGTTGGCCACATGTATGTCTTCTTTTGAGAAGTGTCTGTTCATTTCCTTTGCCCACTTTATAATGGAGTTGTTTGTTTTCTTGTAAATTTGTTTAAGTTCTTTATAGATGCAGGATATTAGACCTTTGTCAGATGGATAGATTGCAAAGATGTTCTTTCATTCTGTAGGTTGTCTGTTTACTCTGTTGGTAGTTTCTTTTGGTGTGGAAAAGAAACTCTTTGTTTAATTAGATCCCATTTGTCAATTTTTTCTTTTGTTGAAATTATTTTTGGCATCTTCATCATGAAATCTTTGCCTGTGCCTATGTCTGGAATGGTATTGCCTAGGTTTTCTTTTAGGGTTTTTATAGTTTTGAATTATACATTTAAGTCTTTAATCTACCTTGCATTGTTTTTTGTATATATATGGTATAACAAGGGGGTCCAGTTTCAATTGTCTCCATATGGCTAGCCAGTTCTCTCAGCACCATTTATTAAATAGGGAATCTTTTCCTTATTGCTTTTGTCAGGTTTGTCAAAGATCAGTTGGTTGTGGGTGTGAGGTCTTATTTCTGGGTTCTCTGTTCTGTTCCACTGGTCTATGTGTCTGTTCTTGTACCAGTACCATGCTGTTTTGGTTATCGTATCCCTGTGGTATAGTTTGAAATTGGGTAGCATGTTGCCTCAGCTTTGTTTTTTTCATTTAGGATTGCCTTGGCTGTTAGGGCTCTTTTTTGGTTCCATGTGAATTTCTTTTTTTTTTTTTTTTTTTCTGAGACAGAGTCTTGCTCTGTTGCCAGGTGCCAGGGTGGAGTGCAGTGGTACAATCTCAGCTCACTGCAACCTCCGCCTCCTGGGTTCAAGCAATTCTCTTGCCTCAGCTTCCCAAGTAGCTGGGACTACAGACGTGTGCCACCATGCCCAGCTACTTTTTATATTTTAGTAGAGATGGGGTTTCACTTTGCTGGCCAGGATGGTCTCGATCTCTTGACCTCATGATCTGCCTGCTTTGGCCTCCCAAACTGCTGGGATTACAGGCGTGAGCCACTGCGCCCAGCTCCATATGAATTTTAAAATTGTTTTTTTCTAATTCTGTGAAGAATGTTAATGGTAGTTTAATGAGAATAGCATTTAATGTATAAATTGCTTGTGGCAATATGGTCATTTTCATGATATTGATTCCTCCCATCCATGAGCATAGAATGTTTTTTGATTTGTGTCATCTCTGATTTCTTTAAGAAGTGGTTTGTAGTTCTCCTTGAAGAGTTTCTTTGCTTTGCCTGTTAGTTGTATTCCTAGGTATTTTATTCTTGTGGCAATTGTGAATGGGAGTTCATTTGTGATTTGATTCTCAACTTGCCCATTGTTGATATGTAGGAATGCTAGTGATTTTTGCTCATTGATTTTGTATCCTGAGACTGTGCTGAAGTTGCTTATCAGCTTAAGAAACTTCTGGACTGAGACAGTGGGGTTTTCTAGATATAGGATCATGTCATCTGTAAACAGGGTAGTTTGACTTCCTCTCTTTCTAACTGAATACCCTTTATTTCTTTCTCTTGCCTGATTTCCCTGGCCAAAACTTCCAATACTATTAATATGTTGAATAGGAGTGGTGAAAGAAGGCTTCCTCGTCTTGTGCTAGTTTTCAAGGGGGAGTATGTCCAGCTTTTGCCCATTCAGTGTGATATTGGCTGTGGGTTTGTCATATATGGTTTTTATTATTTTAAAGTATGTTCCTTCAGTATCTAGTTTATTAAGAGTTTTTTACATGAAGGGATGTTGAATTTTATCAAAGACCTTTTCTGCATCTATTGAGATAATCATGGGGTTTTTGTCTTTAGTTCTGTTTATGAGATGAATCACATTTATTAATTTGCTTATTTAGAAACAGCCTTGCATCTTGGGGATGAAACCTCCTTGATGGTGATTTTGGAGCTTTTTGATGTGCTGCTGGATTTGTTTTGCCAGTATTTTGCTGAGGATTTTTCCATCAATGTTCATCAAGGATATTGGCCTGAAGTTTTCTTTTTCTTGTTGTTGTTTGTCAGATTTTGGTATTGGGGTGATGTTGGCCTCATAGAGTGAGTTGGGGAGGAGTACATCCTTTTCAGTTTTTTAGAATAGTTTCTGTAGGAATGGTACCAGCCCTTCTTTGTACCTCTGGTAGAATTCAGCTGTGAATTCATCTGGTCCTGGGCTTTTGTTTTGGTTGGTAGGCTATTTATTACTGCCTCAATTTCAGAACTCATTATTGGCCTATTCAGGGATTTATTTTCTTCCTGGTTCAGTCTTGGGAGGGTGTATATATCCAGGAATTTATCCATTTCTTCCAGAAATTGATTAGTAAAATTTCTAGTTTATGTGCGTAGGATTGTTTATAGTATTCTCTGATGGTTGGTTGTATTTCTGTTGGGTTGGTGGTAATATCCCCCTTATTACTTCTGATTGTGTTTGTTTGAATCTTCTCTTTTCCTTTTCATTAGTATAGCTAGTGGTCTATCTAGTTTATTAATTTTTTTCAAAAAACCAGCTCCTGGATTCATTGTTTTTTGTTTGCTTGCTTTTTTTTTTT